ACTCTTGTATTTTTTTCGTACACCCTTTAATTAGTTACAGCGTAAAAATCGATTTTTTTTCTTAAAATTTGAAAAATTAACATTTTCAAAATGTAAAACAGCTCATTTTAAAGATTTTTCAAAGTGCTTTAAAAAAGGTTCAAATAGTTTTTTTTCCTAATATTTATGGTTTTGGCGTAATTTAACGTTAACTGTTTTAGTCGTCAGTGCCGCGAGAAACAACTACACCGAGGGCTATTTGCCCCTACCGGCATTGAATTATACTCGCGACACCTAGTACAACAGCTAGGATCGTTTTTCAGTTTAACCCACCAGACACAGACCGTTTGCGGACTTATTAGTCCTCATTAGTGTGTCATAGGTGGGACAACTGACAAAATACCCAGCTGTTTCTTCGTCGTATCATCACGAAGAGGAAGTACATTGTACGCGGGAGCCAATGCTGCACGACAGATGGAGCCATTGATTGGCTCCCGCGTACAATTAACGTTAACTGGTTCCAATTTAGTTTTTAATTAACATAGTGTGTCCCAGAAGTAACGCAAAAAATCGTATTTTATTATGTGTTGCGTTTTCACAAAAACGCTAAAACACGTCAATTAGTAAATAAGAATTGTCATTTTATCACGTTGCTTAAACCTTTTTGCGCTATGTTTCATAAACCTATGACGTCATCGATATTTTTTTAAATAGCACTACCTAATTTTTTAAGCATAAATGGATGGCCCTTTTGAAGGGAAATACATCGATATAGGGTTTGGGCTACTTTACTTTGACAGGAGCGAAAAAGAAGCCAATGACTGGAATGGACATGGTTTAAAATAACAACAAAATTAGGTATCATAAACTGATGAGAGAACAGTGCCACAGCAAAAAATGGAAATTTGTGGATGTTTTGTGTTTTGGTTAATTGTAGGTACGTTTTTATGTATTGATATGTTGGCGTTTTCGGCGATACGATGAACAGCAGTGTGTGGATTTTCAGTGACGGCTAAAAATAACATTTCGCCTATCATTTTCTATCACTGTCGTTGACCTTCCAGATCTAGACAGATCTCTAACATGTCCAGCGTCTTCAAATTTGCGTACTAATCTGCACACTGTAGACGGAGGTATTGGTTGCTCTGGATACTTGGCATTGAGGAATTGACATACTTCATCATAACTACGGATCCTATCTCTGTATCCATCCACCCATAATTAGGATTTTAATTCATTGTTTCTCATTTTAACACAACACCATCGCAATGTAAAGTTATGGTATTTGTAACTGTCACAATGATATGAGGCACCATTGCATTCGCTAACTGTCTTCTTCAAAACATTACCTACATAGCCGCTGTGATCGGGTGTACCTACCAAATCTATATAAAAACATGTACCTACAATCAACCAAAACACATTTTTTCCTATAGCACTGTTCGCGCATAAGTTTGTGATACCTACTTTTGTTATTAATTCAAACCAGGTCCATTCCAATCGTTGGCTTATTTTCGCACGTGTCAAAGTAAAGTAGACCAAACCCTATATCGCGCCATTATTCCATGGCTAGAAATTGGCCTCAATGATTTGGGATCGAGGGGGATTATCCCTCTTTATCCTGCCTCATCTCGTGTAGGCCTGGACAGCCTTCGTAGGTGGGCCCCATCCGTCGTCTACCCCGACCGCAAATGCTGCCGGTGTAGGCGCTTTGTGGGACCTCCTTTTGTCCTGGCTGGGCAACCCTATATCGACGCATTTCCCTTCAAAAGGACTATCCATTTATGCTTAAAAAATAGGTAGTGCTATTTAAAAAAAATGTCGATAACGTCACAGGTTTATGAAACATAGCGCAAAAAAGGTTTAACCAACGTGACAAAACGACAATTCCTATTCACTAATTGACGTGTCTTAGCGTTTTTGTGAAAACTCAACACAAAGTAAAATACGAATTTTTACGTTACTTCTGGGACGCACGTAATAATGTTTAAAAATCCATAAAATCCATCGGTTTATATTGCAATTAGAGAAAAACAAAATAATGCCATTAGATTTGTTTTTTTATTACCTTTCTTTTTGTTCAATACAACTATTTCGTTAAATCCAATGGTTTCGGAGTTATTTGCAAAAAAACTCCGAAAACGAGCACTTTTTCAGTAAAAAATCAACATTTTCAATGACGAATTACTCGGAAAGTATTGGATTATCCAAAAAACTTTTTATAACATTTGTTACTTAAAATTGACTCCTCTATCGATTCCTGTTTGTTATTTTGGGCGTAAAAATTTCCACCTCCAAGAAGGGGTGGGAACCACCCCCAGGGCAAAAGCATCTTTCGGCACTATATAAGTTTTGTTCCTTGAGGCATTCCCCACATTCAATCAAAATTTCACGTCAATCGGTTCAGTTATAAAGAATTCGGAGGTAAAAACCCTGAGTAAATGGACTAATTATCATACAATTTTTGACGCGGGAGGGGGTCCGCCCTGCTGAAATTTTGCAGAGATTGAGACAGCAGTTCGCTGAAAACACTCTTTCGCTACCCCGTGTTTTTTTAGCACAAGGCCTTCTCTGAAGGACGAGGGTTGAAAATGAATCCCACGATCGGCGGCCCAGAACCAGCTTAACTGATGGACACATTCAAGCAGTTCGTGACTTTCTGGAGAACGACCATTGCCTGACAGTCGCATGTGAAGTGAAGATCAGTGTCGGGTCTATCCATACCATCATCCGTGATGAGCTTGGTTTATCAAAAGTGTCGGCTAGTTGCGTGCCACGCCTTTTCTCGCGGGAACAGAAGAATGTTCGTCTTAACATCTGCCAACGGCATATGCGACGGTACCGTACTGAATGGGGCGCATTTCTCGACCGTATAGTGACCTGCGATGAGAGTTGGGTCCACCATTATACTCCACATCGCGCTTGTCAGCGGGTAAAGTTCTCGCTACAGTTTTTTGGGACTAAAAGGAATCCTTCTGCTGGATTTTCTTCACGAGCAGAGAACAATTAATGCTGTAGATTTCTTGAACAGGTTAGGGCCGCTTATCGAAACAAAAGACGCCGCCAACCCATGAGGAACGTCATTTTGCTCCACGATAATGCTCGACCCCATACGGCAAACCATACACGCCAGAAATTGGAAGAAATGTTCTGGAAAACTCTCTAACACCCACCCTACAGTCCGGACCTGTCCCTATGTGATTATCGCATGTTCGGACCATTGAAAGAGGCTTTGGTAGGGCAGCGTTTCGCTAATGACGCAGAGGTGGAGGCGTTCGTGCGCAACTGCCTAACGTCCCGCCATCCTTCTTTCTACAGTGATGGAATCAAAAAGCTTCCAATCAAGTGGGAAAAATGTGTTTCAAAGGAAGGTGATTATGTAGAAAAATGAGAAATTGTTTGTGAACTTCTTAATTTTATCAATAATAAAAAAATAATTCTTGTTTATATGACTCTCGTAAACAAACCCAAAAGAGAAACTACCAGTGTCGGAGGTAGCAGTATTTTATATTTATGTATTTATTATTTATTATATTTTATTTTTAATTTGTATTTATTAAAATTATTTTGTAATATTCCTCATCACAATACTGAGTTAAGAAGAATGTGGTTAGAACCATTAAAGGACTCCCCACTTTTTATATGGAAAAGTGATTTCAGTCGGGAGGTTTAATTTTTGGTGGAAAAGGTAGTTCTCAACATTCTGAACAAAAAAGCTAATGGGCACAAAAAATCTACCGTCAGGATTTTGCGCTACGGCGCATAGAAGGTCGCATGAGCGGGTGACCGCCTTTTTCCGTACCCACGCGTACACAGTAGTATTAGATCGCGTCCGCGATGCCACAGCAATTGCTAATAATCAAGTTGAAATCGAAGTAGTTGAGATGGAATAGTTTGTGGAACATCAGTGGAGTATAGAGCTATTGGCGAAGAACCACTATAAAAAAGCTAATACGCCTTATTCGGAACCTCATTAGGTGGTGTGGAAGACCGGAATCCTCATTTTTGAGTCTCGTTTTGAACACAGAAAAGGGGGATATATAAATATATAGTACTTTTTCACTCCAACACACCTCCACGCATGCATGTCTCCATAATCGGTCACTGAACACGTTCTTTTTTGATAAAAATAACCCGACTCCTGAAAATCCAGGTGCCGACCTTATATGCGCCGTAGCGCAAAATCCTGACGGTAGATTTTTTTGTGCCCATTAGCTTTTTTGTTCAGGATGTTGAGAACTACCTTTTCCACCAAAAATTAGACCTCCCGACTGAAACCACTTTTCCATATAAAAAGTGCGGGGTCCTTTGCTTCGTTAAGGAAATGGACGTAGGTATGTTTGTTCAGACCATTTTAATAGTGGAGATTACAAATATTTAAAAACTGGAGTTAAAATTTTAAAAGCATCTGCTGTTCCAGTTTTTGCGACCACAAATACTGCTCTAGTGCCTTTCCAGGATAGTGGTTTTCTTTAAATAGGTACTTATTACCTAGTTTTTTAAGTTGATGAAGCATTTAATTACAAACTGGTATATACATATTTTTATAGATCTGAGAGTTCCTATTCCATGCTATCACCACCCTCGATTTCAACAAACTGAAGGCAATGGTAAGAAACCTATACCTATAATAGGTATTGTATAATTTAAGTACCTATTATGTTTAGCAGCATTTTTCCTAAGATCATAATTTATTTTTTCTTTTAGAAAATCTGTTGACTCTGCCTCTTCAACAACAACTATTAATGGTGCTTCAGAAATAACTTTGACAGCTTCTTTTCTATGTGATACACTGATGTATCTTCGGAAGATAAGGTCACAGCGCTCTTAGACTTGGTTGAAGTTGAAACTACACAAAATAAAAACAATAATTCTATCAACACAAAGGTTAGTTAATAAAGCGGTTGGTAGCCGCACGGTTTAAGGCGTCAGTACTTAAATCGATGTATGCTAATTCTGCCCGGGTTCGATTCCCGCGGCCGGTAGACCGTAGATCAGCTATGCTTGTACGGAGGATTTGCACCCTCTGTGCAGATATGGTAAGTAAGTAAGTAAGTAAAATCTTTATTAGTTCACTTTGCATAAGAATTACAAAATACCCTTAGGGTGTAGAACTCGTCAATTATGTGTAGTAAAAAATAGTAAAAAAGTTAAATATTTAAATATAAGAAGTAATATTAAATATAAAACAAGATGCACACCAATACTAACATTGCTGATAAGTAAACACGAACAAAATAACACAATTTATGCACTGATACATACATACATAGTATAATGACAATAAATCAATATATATTATCTTCAAAGAATTCCTTTAAAGTATAATATGCTTTGTCTAAAAGAATTTTATTTAATTTTACCCTAATATCTTTGCACGATAAATTTCTTATATCTAGAGGTAATTTATTATAAATTTTTAGTAATGAATATGGGACATTCCTTTGAATATAACTATATTTTACTATATTTTCAGTCACTAATGTATTTTTGTTTCTGGTATCATATAAATGAGATAAGTTAAAATCTGCGAATAAGTTTATATTTTGCTTAACAAATATAATTACTTCATATATGTATAAGCTCACTAAGGTAAGTATTCTTTTTTCAATAAAAATTTGTTTACAGCTATCTGTCTGTTTCATGTTTAGAATATTTCTAATGCATCTCTTTTGTAGTACAAATAAATCGATAGCATCACTAGAGTTTCCCCAGAAGACAATTCCATATTTTATTTGAGATTGAACATATGCATGGTATGCTATAAATGCTGTAGGAATATTAATATTTTGAGCTATTACTTTTAGAGCATAACAGTATTTAGCGATCTTTTGACCAACATGGTCTACATGGGTTTTCCAGTTCAAACGTGAATCAATCTTTACCCCCAAAAAGGAGGTGCTATTCATAGATGTTATGATGTCATTGCCAGTAGTATGTATAATCTCATTATCCTCCTTTTTGTATGTAAAGTTGATTATTTGTGTTTTTTCTTTATTTAATTTTAAATTATTTTTATAGAAATAGTCTCCCAGGGAATCCAATGTGGCGGTCACCATTTGTTTTAGGTATTCCTTATTTTTATTACCGATTATTATAGATGTATCATCAGCATACATAATAGTTTTTACATCAACTGTTGAGGGCAGGTCATTTGTGTATAAAATATACAACAAAGGACCCAATATCGACCCCTGAGGTACACCCCTTTCTATTAATACTACGTTTGATTTTATGAGAGCGCCAGTATCGTCCGTTTCTACAACACACTGCTTCCTATTCAGCAGGTAAGATTTTATCAATTCTGAGGCAACACCTCGAATGCCATACATTTGAATCTTTTTATTTAGAATGTCATGATCCACAGAATCAAACGCTTTGGATAAATCCAAGCATACAGCCATGGTACTGTTTTTTTCATTTAATAATCTTGTAATTTCACACAATGCCTGATATATAGCCCTAGTTGTTGTTTTATTTTTCCTAAACCCGTTTTGTGCATCTGTAAGCAGATCATGACATTCCAAAAAATGTAATATTCTGTTATAGATTATTTTTTCAAAAACTTTGCTTATATTTGACAGTAATGCAATAGGCCTATAGTTGTTCCTTAGACTTTTTTCACCTTTTTTATACACGGCCTTAACATGGGCAATTTTAAGATTTTCAGGAAAAGTTCCTGTTTTTAATGTTAAATTAATTAAGTATGTTAGTGGAATTGATATTTCAGCCGCTGTAAATTTAAGTAATTTAACTGGTATTTCATCTTCCCCTACAGAATTAGTGTTTTTTAAACTCATAATTACATTGTAGACCTCATTTGGGTCGGTCGGAAGTAAAAATATGGTGTTATCGGAAAATTGATTGTCTTTTTCAACATTAATATGATTAATGTGATTGACTTGATCGCCTTGATTTGCAAAGAAGTTATTTACATTGTTCAAAACTTTTATTTTATTTTTTTCAGCAATATCAATATTTTTTAATATCGTATCGTCGTTTTTAGTTTTTTTTCCACTAAAAGTTTTCACCAAATTCCAAATGGCTTTTCCTTTGTTTTTTGTTGACTCAATATATGACATATGTGCCCATGTTTTTGCCGTGTATATGACTTTTTTGAGAATACTGCAATACTGTTTATATATTTCAGTAGATATTTCGCGATTCCTTTTTTGTACATACATATTTCTTTTATTTCTGCAAGATATCTTTATACCTTGGGTGATCCAGTTTTTTGATTTTTTCATTTCTCTCAAAGTTTTTACCGGAAAAAGTATATTCATAATATTTTTAAATGTACTTACAAATCTGTTAAATGTTTTATTTGGGTCTTCCGCGCAATAAACATCAGCCCAATCATATTTTTGCAGTTCTTGTTTAAATTGTTGCATTTTAGTTTCTGAAAAAATTCTCTTTTTGTTTATTTTAGTTTTTTTTGTTTCAGGTGCCTCAAGTTCCAGTAACTGGCCCTCGTGATCAGATAAAGCTGTTGTAATTACTTTACCTATATGAGCATTATCAAAGTTTATAAATATATTATCTATCAATGACTGAGAATTTTTTGTTATTCTAGTAGGATCAAATATAGTTTGCTTTAAATTGTACATAAGTAACAAATTCCTAAAATTTTGGGCATTTATGTTAGCATTAATATGTAGATCAATATTGAAATCTCCACATAAGATAACTTTATATGTTCTAAAAGAATTATGTGCTAGATTTAGTATTTCCGCTAGTGTTTGAAAAAATATATCTAAATTACCCTTAGGGGGTCTATATATACACAAAATTAGCAATTTTAATTCCCGACAAACAACAGACGAACACTCTACATTACATTCAAGACTTTTTTGTTTTAAATCGTATACCTCCTCATATACAATGTCATTTCTTACAAATATACAGGAACCACCGTTCTTTACATTTTCTCTAGACCATACAGATGCTATATTATAACCATCCAGGTGCATGCAGAATATTTCTTCAGATGTATACCAATGCTCTGTTATACATAAGATGGCTGGTTGATTTTCCAAACTTCTTGTAAACAAATCTAGTTCCAAGAACTAGTAGGATGGAAGAATGTTGGCTTGGGTCAATGTGAGAGATTGACACCGGTTAGCACCGGTTTCCTGGGCGCAAATGCGGCCTGCTTAATAATAATAATATGCCGCCTCCTCTTCCGCACAAGTCTTCGACTTCTGGGCTAATTCTCGTGCTAGAATGAGGAGTAGATATTATTATTATTTACTTCTTCAGTTCTTTTCGGTCACGTCAACACACAAATCAACATCTCAAAGTGGATCTAATTTTGTGACATCGCCACCCGTACAAAGCGGTAAGCTTTTTAAGATGTTTTTACTTGTTTTAAAATTCTATATGTAAAAATTCAAATCATAATTAATTTTAGAATAAGGATGTTAGAGAAGTTTCTAGAGGTGATTTTTCTTCACCAACTACAATAGACTAGCGATTATGGGGACACCGTTTATTGTGAAACGCCGGAATATGTGAACAGTCAAAATTTTGTATTAACAGCCGTATTATGTGAACAGCAAGCGTTTCTACCACTCGATTATGCGAACTACTGTAGTGGTGGGGGACATTTGCCTATTCATTCATGTCTGTCCCGTTCGCTCCTTCAGTACTGCTCTACTTGTGATCTGTAAAGGGTATTTAGAGTGTTCTTGTGCGGTATGAATATGGGTAAGAGAGGAAAATGTTTGACAATAATGTGTAAAAACAAAATTTTGGATGAGCTTGATAAGGGTGCTGCCGTCACCACTGTGGCTGTAAAATATAATGTTGCAAAATCAACAATATGTGCTTTAAAGAAAAAGAAACTTGCAATTCGTCAGTCCACAATAAATGCAGTTGGCGAATTAGGAAATACAAAAACTTTGAAACCCTCCGATTACTTTGCAATGGAAACAAAGCTGTATAAATCTGGAGAAATGCTTAAAATGAAGGCAAAATAATAGTATTCTACGACATATAGGAATGATAAATTCACAGCCAGTGATGGGTGGCTGCAACGTTTTAAGAACAGATGTGGCATACGTCTCCCTAAAATTGCCGGCGAAAAGACATATGTTTCTTATCACGAAAACATGGCACCTGGAAGAAAATCTGAAAAACAGATAGTAACGTTTTTAGCATTAAAGACTGGTTTCATTCCAAATTTGTTCGTCAGGTAATTAAAACAAGCCTATAAAATATCAAAGTGTAAAGATATAGACAACGCACCTAGTCATCCAACCGAAGATGAACTGAAGACTGAAGATGGGGCAATCTTTACAATGTTTTTACCACCTAATGTAACATGTCTGATCCAACCAATGGACCAGAATGTTATAAGGATAACGAAGTTGTTCTACAGAAAAAAAATTATTGTCAGCTCTAATGGCCGAAGATCCCGAAAATATTGTGCAAGTAATGAAACATATTACACTGAGAGATGTTTTTACAAATTTATCGGTGCATGGCAAGACTTAAGTCCAGCCGTTATTGCAAAGTGTTGGAAGAATCTTCTAGACGATGGTGACGATCAAACAAACTTACCGTAAGTGATATTCGATCTTAATTATATGAGGGCTTCGTCGAAGTTAACGATAAAGAAATGGACAATCTCGTAAAAAGTATTCACCCGGGCTCAGGTCGTTTGCCTTAATACTAAGCTTTTATTTAACAGATGCTTATAATTATGTAAGAAGAAGTTTTAACATGGCTAATGAAAGATATTACACTGAGAGATGTTTTTACAAATTTATCGCTGCATGGCAAGACTTAAGTCCAGCCATTATTGCAAAGTGTTGGAAGAATCTTCTAGACGATGGTGACGATCCAGAAGAATTAATAAAATTTTATCCCCCTCCATAACAATAAAATCATGTGTGGATAGGGTGCTTGAAAATGGAAAGAAATGTAGAAGAATTTTATTTTAAATGTTTTCTTCCTGGGATACTCAACCCGTAGTATGCTTAATAACGTCAAATTAAAGATCTAAGAGAAAACTAAATATTTTCGTAGATTTATATACCTAGTTAATTGATTTTAATATTGCATCTATTATTTTCCTCTTATACCTCTTACACATACCTAAGGTACCTTGTAGAAATTACTACATATTTATATCATATAAATATTCCATACTTATACGAATTACTTTTAAAGAGTAATTTCAACAAGGCCTTACTTATCGTCAATGCCAATTTCTTTCAGATATTTGGTACCTAAAATATGTTCTTCTTTTGTTAATAAATTGTGTTAATATAAATACAAAAAATGGAAATTCGAGACATTTATCTGTTACATAAAGCCTTGATTTACTAGCCCACAAGTTCCTTTTTTTCTAATAATTATTATTAAGATCACTATATTTCCAAAAATAGGGTATATTTGAATCAAAAATGTTTTTCAACTTGATTTTTTTTAAATATAAGTGAATTAATTAGTTATGTAAAATTTGTTTCATTCCAATACAAAGTTCCGTTAAGAAGAAAAATGTCCGCGCGTGGAAGTCTGCAAATTGCTTACATTACACCCTTAATGTCTTTGTTAAAATTGGCAATATGTATCAAAAGGTATGAACTTTATAGTTTAAATTACGATATTACTGTAGACAACATATATGCTGAGGACAACGAATCGAGAGAAAAAGAAACTGTGACATAATAGTTGGAGCAGAAGTATCAAATAGCCATATTTATAACAAATTAGAAGAAGTAAATACTATTCTCAAATTACTTTTATATCGGCTGAACAATTTAGAAGTGATTCACCAGAATACTTGTCATTACAGGCGATGATCTAATTAAATGTTATTTACCTCCCAAATCAGTGGAAGAATTATTAAAATTTGAAAACGTATTAGAAAATAATAAAAATGCTGTGAAACAATTAGTAAGTATATTTATTAACAAAATTAACAGAAGAAAATGGTTGGCATTTGCAAAAAAATATGTTAATATGAACAACGAGTTTTGGAAACAAGTCATACTTTCTGATGAAAGCACGTTCAAATCATATGACCTATTTAGTGGCATATGCTTCTTTTATTTTTTTGCTTTTCATTATATGTTACCACATAATATAAGTTACATTGCTTCTGCATCATCTTATCACGAAAAACTGCAATGAAAGCACACCATAAGTATAAAACTAAGTGTGTGCTCTGCGTGAGGCAGTCTTGTATTTAGCACTTAATAAAGCTTGTTAGTGATATTTCTGCCCATTATTCTAATGTCAAAAGGGGCCCAAGAACGAAATTGGCGCAGATACTGATTCCTCGAGCTCTACGTTGGGAACCTTGACCTAGAAAGGGTAGAACTATAAGTGAATAAAACCACGTCGGGAAAATAGTGAAGGGCTGAACTGAGTAGGTCCGTCCCGTCGTTTGTGTTTTGGATTACCACCAGACCTGTCTCTGCTGCATCCATAAGGAAATTTCCTAGAACCGGAGCTACGCTGGTAAGTACCAAAGTGCTTGTACTTGACTCCTTATTCTTTTCAAATATTGATAGTGGTAGGTTGGGATTAGAATCAACCTGTTTAATAAGGTTAAAGTTAAGAAAGTCTAATTGAGAAAGATAATCAAAATTTCTATCATAAAGTTGTTTCAACATATGCATAAATCCTTTGTGCCGTATCGAGTTCCTGCTAGACTTGCAAGGACGCCCAGTCCGCTAGAGCCATAAACTGATAGTGAGGCGTATTTTGCTGAATCGTTTACAACTAACTTATCTATACAAGAAAACGTGGAAAATAATACCATGTCAAACCCGCAACTAATCGTGAGCGTGAGCCAAGCCGTTTCACAATCGAAAGAATTAGAACCGCAAAAGTTGAATTTTCTAAATTCCACAATATAACCTTTTGATGGTTCAGAAACTGAATTGACTCAATTTTTAGAATCTGTCGAAACATTCATAATCGCTTTATATCTACCTCAATCGACCGACATACAATCGCGCCTGGGTGCCTATTCTCCAAACCATGCGATAGTACGTTCGCATGCGACTGATAGATTTATCGTGTACGAACACTAGTGATTGAAAAAGTCGCATTCTTGGACGCACACGTGGCTTCGAATACGATTTGGCTACCGCATGCGATGCATCGACTGGGTCTGACCATTCGTTGTATCGTTCGCGTCGGTTTTCTAACCTATAAACGCTGCCTATAGAAGAGCAATAATCAGTTACTCTTTTGCGTGCTAAGTAAATTGATGTGTCAAAAATTCAACTTTATTATTGTAATTGAGCATTCCATCTCATAAGATATAAAAATATTTGACAAAAATAAAAATATTGAAACAGGAAACAAAAATATTTATATAACGCTTAATAATATTTGTGAAGGAGCACGAAAAGTAATACCTAACGAGTTACTGGCGCAGACGTCTACGTTTTTGTATATTTCTGCGTTTGCCAGCAATTATTTCTAAAGCGGAAGCAATTCTTTGTAGAGCATTGGCGTGGACTTTAGCAACTTTAATTTTGTCTTTGTAATATTGCTCTAAGATA